CCTTAAACTAATTATAGTTTAAGCGTCTGAGAATGAAATTATGATTTGGCCTAAGACTAAGAATAGCTAAGAGCATTATTATGACCTGGCCTTAGACTAAGAATAGCTAAGAGCGTTGTTATGATCTGGCCTTAGATTAAGAATAATTTAAGAGCACTATTGAAATAGTATCTGAATTGAATAAAATGTGTTGATATGAACTGAATAATATCAAAACTCTGAATGTCTGAAACGAACATTGTGTGCATGATATCAAAAGATTTGATTATGAATTTAGATTCAGTTTATATGGATGTTCGACGCATTAGATATGCTTACTCAGCTTTACCGCTGAGCGTGTAGTGTGTTTTATTTGCTACACGCAGGTAAACAAAAAGATTAATGTGATCCTGACGGCAGATGGAGCGAGATTGTCGGGATGGATGTGACAAGTTTGAAATGATTTATGATATGTCAATATTAAGTTCGCTTCCGCAATATTCTTAAATACTCCGTACTGTATATGTTATGAAAAATATTATTGAGATTAATAAAGTGTGTTTGAAAAGTTTTAAATTTTACGATTACCAAGTTAAATACTTTAGTCCGAAAGGGGCTGCAGACCTGGACGGATTAGGGTGTTACAATAATTTCCTTCTACACCAGCTAAGTTTTGTTCTTCATTTTTATATTCTAGCCGTTGTGTAGAATCCTTGTTTGTGTTCTTCAAACACACTTTCTTACGGTCGAGAATAGCCGTTAAATTCTCACATTGTAACGGTTAAGGATAGCCGTATAAATCCTTGGGTAAAGGTTCAAGGATAGCCTTTGAAATCCTTGGGGGAACGGTAGAAGATAGCCGTTAAATCTTCGTTGTAAGTGGTTCGAGATAGCAGTTGTAAAATCTCACAGTGAATCCTATTGGCAAGGGTTGTTTGCCAAACTAGTGCGGTGCTTTGACGGAGTTCAAGAGACCGGGACTTAGTGGATTCGGAAATCCTTGAGGAGGAGCCTCGAGGTACTGGAGTAGGGAGTTCCCGAACCAGTATAAATTGGTGCGCATTTTACTTTACGCTTTTATTTCTGCGTTTTATATATTGCTTCCGCATTTGCCAACACCGTTTTTATCCAACTCCAAAAAGATTTTAAACACCTTATTCACCCCCCCTCTAAGGCGTGGGCACAATGACTAAAATCGACTAACAGTTTCTTTGTAGTCAATGCCTTCAACCTGGTGATTGCCAAGTATAACAAGCCTAGCCTTGTATCTTTCCACACTTCAATCGGACTTGCGCTTGATTTTATACACCCACTTGCATCCAAGAGCCTTCTTATGACGTGGGGGATGAACAAGGGACCACGTGCCATTAGCCTCCAACACATCAATTTCTTCTCGCATGGCCTTCCTCCATTGCTCATCCTGGAATGCCTGTTTGAAGTTTCTAGGCTCTTTTTCTTCGTCAAGTGCTGTGAGAAAACACTTATGTTTGTCAGAAAACTTCTCATAAGTGACATATGAAGATAGTGGATGTTGAATATAAGTGAGCCCTAGAGGCCAACTTATGATTCCATATCTATGTTATATCAAGAACAATAGGCCCTAAAGATTGTTTAAGTCATCTCGTGTGATTTAAAAATAGCTTTAGTCCATAGAGTAGGCGCTCTACTAACAGAGATGAGAACTACAACGTTTTGATTATGAGGCTGTTACAAAGATAGAGGCTACGTCTAAAATATCCTTAATCGAATATTATGACAATACAGACATCATAATATATCAAGACTAATACGTATAAGATGAGATAGCTGCGTCTCATAGGCTATAGATAAAGTGTTATCTAAATCTATATGTAGGCAAACATATTGGATATGTTGCTGGATTGACCCGCTATGAGAATAATATATGGGTTTAAGTTAAAGTGTTGATATTATTCTCATGCGACCATTAGTATAACTATCCTTCGACTTGAAGTCATTACATTCTTTGGTAAGTTGAGTTATATACTTTGAAGCATGATTTATGCCATCTGAAATATTGGTGGATGTACATTTATGTTTTGGATATGCAATGAAACTTAAGCGAAGATGTGAATGACCTAAATAGAATTTATCCCTTCTTTGATGAAGTATAATATCTAAGGGCTCACTGATTGATGTGACTTGAGAAGTGCATGGTCATGCCCAAATAAATATGTTATTTGAATCCCACAAGTCAATCGAAGAATCAGTAAACCATCGATTTAAATTTAACAAGGTGACACACCCCATACCTTGTGTGAAATCAAGATATTAGTGATAAAGGGATAAGAGTTATACAAATAGGATGTGTCGTTGAAGGAATTGTTCCAAGAGTTTTAATCTATAATTTGGAGGTGATAATGTGTTGCTAGATACCGCTTATCATTTGTAGTATTCTATAATATGGCCAATTTTATAGATGCCTAGAATAGGGTCACACACATAGAACATATGAAATTGTAGAATATGTAAGTGGAGTAAAGTTGCATTATATATATATATATATATATATATATATATATATATATATATATTGTGTATACTACATTGTGTGACAATATGATTAGATACACAAGGATATATATAAATAAATATTTATTTTTGGACATTTTAATTATATGATAATTATGTTTGTCAAATATAATTAATAATAAATATATATATTCGATATATATATAAATAATAAATTGTTTATTATTTTATTATTAATAATGCAAAATATATTTGTATATATTTGATATTTGGACATTTTAATTATATGATAATTAAGTTTGTCAAATATTATTTAAGGAACAAAATATAAAATAATGATTATATATATATATATATATATATATATATATATATATATATATATATATATATATATATATATATATATATATATATATATATATATATATATATATATATATATATATATATATATATATATATATATGTTCGGCGTATGTATATATATGTTTTTCGTATATATATGTATAATATAATAAATCTTATATTATTTATTTTGTGCTAATTATATGATAACTAAAATTGACAAAATAAATTATAAGCTTCCTTAAAGTGGGATTCGAAATTTCCTAAGTAGAATAGGAATGAGATTTGATTTTCTCCCTAAACTCTAAAAGGTACATTCCTATTACGAATAGGAATGGGGATTATAGTCTTTATAAATAGGAGATCATCCCACCCCTTTTAGACCACTAGAATTTCGGCCTCCTCTTTATTTTAAGAGAGAAGAATTTGTTTTGTTCTCTTAATACTTTACACCAAATATTTTATATTTTAGAAATATTCTAGAGAAAAATTACTAGCATAATTTTCTCTAGAACCCTCTTCATTGTTCGTGTGTCTCAACTGAAGATCATATACTTTTGTGGCTAGCTCTTGGATCAATCCATCAACCTACACATATCGTTGCTTGCTCGCCAAGAAAGGTATATTTCTTAACAATAACTTATAATGATCATAAGAGGTCCTTGGTGGATCTACGTTTGGACAAATTTTTTTTATATTTCCGCTGCCCTATCCAAGCGTAGAACCCAACAGTGGTATCGGAGCCGACTTATGAGAATTATAAGTTTTGTAGATTTAATTGCCGTTAGGGTTTTTGATAATTGATAAAATAAAATATATGTATATATATTTTAGAAAATTATCCAAAATTCAAGAAAGTTCCAAAATATGATTCTGGACTTTATAAAATTCGATAATATGATTTTTGAATTAAATTTTGGATTTATTTTTATTTTCGGGTTAATGGGTTAAAAGCCATTTTAACAAATTAAAATATTTCTAAAATTCTAAAATTAAATTTTATTAAATCTGAGACTTTAAAATATTATTTTAAGAGCTCTGGAAATTTAAAATTAATTTTCGGAATTTAGTTTCTAATTTATAAAGTATTGGTTGATTTGTAGTTAATTTTATTAATTACAAGATAAATACAAAATAAATTAAGGAAAATAATTTTAATGCTTATGGGATATTAAACTATGATTTTAAATAATCTGGAAAATTAAAATAAATTTTAGGTTTTTATTTTCTATTTTTCCCGATTTAAATAATCTTATTCGGTATTAATATAGATTAAATTGAAAAGGACAATTAAAATTCGGGATTATAATTTTATGAAATTGAAAATATGATTTTCAGACTGCCTAAAAAGTTTTAGAATTAAATTATTAATTTAAGTATTAATTATTCATTTTTGGGAAAAACAGTTTTGGTAATCGGTATTTAATTCCCGAAAATTAAATAATTAATTTTGAATTATGGAAATTTAGTATTTGGTAATAATATTATAATATTCTGAGAATAATTATTTTTGGAACAATTATGGTACACGAAAAATAATTTTAGAAATTGTTTTATGGATTACCAAATAATAAATAGAAAGTACCGAAAATAAATTTAAGTAAAAACTGGAAAATTTTGTTTTCAGATTGTACATGAGTCAAAAACTTTATTTTTGGAAAATATTGGTTTTTGAAATATTTGGAATGTTCTAAATTAATTTTGGAAATTAATTTAATTCTTTTGGGAATAAATTCATAAATACCGAAAATAAAATTTATTTAATTCTGGAAATTTGATTTTCAGAACAATTCGGACCCAAAGTAAATAGTTTTGGAAAATATTAATTTTGGAACGTCGGAATTAATTTTTAGAAAATAGAAGTCCGATTTTTGGTATTTGAATAAAGATTTTCGAAAATAAATTTTATATATTCTGGGAATTTTATTTTCGGACTTATAAAATCAGAATACACATTATGGAATTTATTTATTAATTTTCAAAAGGTTTAAGTATTTATTTCGAATCAAAATCCCAATTCTGAAATTAATACCTATATTTACGACAATTAATTATTTTAAATTCAGGAAAATTTAAAATTAAAGTTAAATAAAATTATTTGATAATTTTTAGGCTTGTAGTATATTTTTCTTAGAATAAACTAGGTCTGCGGCGAGCGCGGCTTGCCCGGTATATGTCTTTTATGCATGTGATGTATGAATGTATGCATTGTGCGTGGTTGTGGCTTAGAATCATTTGTTTTTAAGTATGGCCTGCGTGTCGTGCCTCATCTTTAAATTCTAGTTCTAAATCTCTTCTTAAACCTTATACCCCTTGCTTAAAAAGCAAGGAATCTTTTCTCTCGATTAAACAAAGAAGTCCTTGATTAGCAAGGAAGATGAAGGAGCCAAAAAGAAGATGACCTTAGTTCTTTAGGAGGCCACAACCATGTCAAGTTTTATTCATTATACATGTTTGTATATATGTTTGTATGATATTTGCTAGTGTATGTGCGCGGCACGTGCCATAGGTGAAATCACATTTAAAATCCCTCGTAATATTAAGTTTGTGCCTTCCGACGCCGACTCACTCGTCGATACCAGTTTTGACCAGTCAACAGACACGCCAAAGCGGGACGCCTGTTTTACATTGGTATGACGCGAAATCCGTAACAATGGATACTGAGTACGCCCCGGGTTGAACTTAACTAAGTTAAGGTAAAAAGATGAATAACTTAGAGGCACATGGTTAGGTTAATAAATAAAATCAAATTCATCTAACCTAAAGTTGTAAAATGTTACAATTGGAAATAGTTCCTACCTGAAATAGTGTAACTATAGGGAAACATGCAAAGCACAACTATAGTTAGATGAAATAAGGATCTAGGCCCAATATAGGATTTTATTTAGAACAACCTAACAAACCAAGGATTGTAATTGGATCACAATTGGAAATAAGTTCCTACCTAATTAGTTTAACTATAGGGCAAGATGCAAAACACAACTATAGTTAAATGTAATATGGAGCTTGGCCCACTAAGATATCTCTTTAGGAGAAGTCTCGAATCAACAGGTTACGTACTTGAGGGTAGTTGATTTGTTAAAATAGTGGGAGAGTTATTAGTTAAAGACCTAGCTAATTACTTACATTCTTGATATTAACTATCTTGAAAATTATATGTAGATGTCTAACAACAACCATAACCTCACTCTTCGCTCGATCCTCGACAAAGATAAGTTGACCAGCTCCAACTTCTTAGACTGGCAAAGAAACCTCGTTATCGTTTTTCGACTTGAGAAGAAAGAATATGTGCTCGAACGAGCCATCCCACCTGTCCCGGCCGCCAATGCTTCTAGAGAAATCAAGGATACTTATGAGAAGCATGTTAATGATGACAATGAGGTGGCATGTCTCATGTTGGCTACGATGACTTCTGACCTTCAGAAACATCAGGAGAGTATGAAGGCATACGATATGACCATACACCTAAGAGCCTAAGACAGCTCTACCAAGGACAAGCTAGACATGAGAGATTCCAAATCTCCAAAGCTCTCTTTAGTTGCAAGTTGTCAGTTGGAAACCCTGTAGGTCCGCATGTTCTCAAGATGATTGGCTACGTCCAAACTCTTGAGAAATTGGGTTTTGAACTAAGGACTTAAATTTCAACTGATTTGATTCTGTAATCGTTGCCAGAATTGTACAAGCAGTTTGTGGTTAATTACGAGATGCATGAACTCGATAAACCACTGCCAGAACTTTTGAAGATGCTGCAAAATGCCGAACAGAGCTTGACGAAAGGAAAGGGGAATTCTGTCCTTCTGGTTCAAGGAGGTAAAGGCAAGGAGAAGTTCAAGAAAGCAAAGAAGAATGGACCTAAAGGCAAGGGTAACACTGAACCAAAGTCCAAATCTTCTAAGCTCAAGTCTAAAGGTGGAGTGGCTAAAGATTCCATTTGTCATCACTGTGGTGAAGTTGGCCACTAGAAGAGAAATTGCAAGCAGTATTTGGCAACCAAGAAAAAGGGTGAAGCTTCTGCTTCCGGTACAATTGTTATAAAGACTTAAACTAGTCTACAATCTCTTCAAAAGTATTTGATACTTATAGTATTGCAAACCGTTGCAAGAACTGAAAAGAAAAAGTATGAGTGTTGATCTTGAAGATGCAAGGGTTGCAGCTTTGTGGCGCATTAGTTTAAGTTTTAGTATTTGATCAGTTTTCAATTTCGAATTGTTGTTTACTTACTGTATTATTGGTTATTTCAATAAAGGACAAATTGTTGCTCCATTTATAGAAGTATTTCATATGATCAATTATTTTGCCTCACAAGCATATCGCAATACAACAACTATACCAAGGCTACAAAGTACAAATATTAATCAGTTAATAAGTTTGTCACAAAATTATGAATGAAGTGATAACCACTTAGAGATATAAGGATATGTTTATAAAGGTTATAGCCAAGTACCCTTTCTATTTAAATTTTCAAAATTTAAACTTGCCATTAACATTAATAAAGCACACTTAATAAAGATCAAGTGATATTAATGCCAAAGTTACATAATAGGAAAGGCAAAAGTGATACGATCATGAAATTGACGTTCCCTCAAACGTTATCTAGATAACGTGACTAAAATAGTTAGTCTAATAAAGAGGATTATGTAACCTTTCCAAATACTACTGAACCTTAAGCACTAAAATAATCATTGTAGACTCTGAAAGGAAAGCGCACTTGGAAACTGTTCCAAAACGATTCCTTCCTTAATAATTAGTAATGAAAGTAAGTCTCATATGAATGAAGACACTTTAAACACTTGTTATGGACGAGTCTATCAAGGATAAAATGAGGGTTTCAAATTATCTATAACCAGTTAAATCACTTATATGTCTAGGATAAAAGTCTTATTGAAGACTAGTGGGAGCACAATAAGTATGTTGCATATCATTGAAAAAATAAATTAAAACTTATCAGTAATGAATGCAAATAGTAGTTATGTGCTCAAGTGTAAAGAATCCATATAGATGGATCAAAGAACTAGGAATAATCTAAGACCAGTACATACATGGAAGTTTTTGAAACTTGCATGAATCTCAGGGTAAAGCCTTTTTTGAGACTCACTCTGTAAAAGGACCGCATTGAAATCGTTCCATAGAGTACCATGAGATATGGACTTGATTCATTCTAAAGGAATATATATATTTATATATATGTCCAAAATTAAGCTAAGAGTAGTAATTAACTTTGTAAAGGTTAACTTTTGATTCTTAAAAAGAGAGAAGAGTTTGGTTTTCTAAAATGGCTTAAGTGTGAATCTTACTCACAAAATAGCTCGTTTAGAACAACCATAAGGTAGGTTGAAATTAACAAAACATATATTGACAGGTATTGACATGGTGTCATACGCATATAAGTGAGATAAATTTGCAACTTTGGAAGTAGCAAAGAGGAAGATATTTTTGTTTTGACAGCTTCTCAAAAGGATAGCATTGCTCCCAGCGTTAGAAACCAATATCTCGTTGTACTGACAACGATAGGGTTACCATAGAGGCCAAAGAAGCTACACCTAGAAACCAAAACGTCATTAGATCTCACCACAGCATACGAATAGTCGTAAAAGTGAAAGTATCGAAATTTCCAAGATAGAAAAGGATAATCAATCTCTTAACTTATTGACCTAGGCTTTGGGAAAACCTATACACGAGGGTCACACTTCATGCATGAGGCATACATGGGAACCATAATTGGCCTTAGTGCTAGTGGGAGATTGTTGAATATAAGTGAGCCCTAGAGGCCAACTTATGATTCTATATCTATGTTATATCGAGAACAATAGGCCCTAAGGATTGTTTAAGTCGTCTCGTGTGATTTAAACATAGCTTTAGTCCATAGAGTAGGCGCTCTAGTAACACATATGAGAACTACGACGTTCTGATTATGAGGCTGTTACAAAGATAGAGGCTACGTCTAAAATATCTTTAGTCGAATATTATGACAATACAGACATCATAATAAATCAAGACTAATACATATGAGATGAGATAGCTGCGTCTCATAGGCTATAGATAAAGTGTTATCTGAATCTATACGTAGGCAAACATATTGGATATGTTGCTGGATTGACCCGCTATGAGAATAATATATGGGTTTAAGTTAAAGTGTTGATATTATTCTCATGCGACCATTAGTATAACTATCCTTCGACTTGAAGTCATTACATTCTTTGGTAAGTTGAGTTATATACTTTGAAGCATGATTTATGCCATCTGAAATATTGGTGGATGTACATTTATGTTTTGGGTATGCAATGAAACTTAAGCGAAGATGTGAATNGCTATAGATAAAGTGTTATCTGAATCTATACGTAGGCAAACATATTGGATATGTTGCTGGATTGACCCGCTATGAGAATAATATATGGGTTTAAGTTAAAGTGTTGATATTATTCTCATGCGACCATTAGTATAACTATCCTTCGACTTGAAGTCATTACATTCTTTGGTAAGTTGAGTTATATACTTTGAAGCATGATTTATGCCATCTGAAATATTGGTGGATGTACATTTATGTTTTGGGTATGCAATGAAACTTAAGCGAAGATGTGAATGACCTAAATAGAATTTATCCCTTCTTTGATGAAGTATAATATCTTAGGGCCCACTGATTGATGTGACTTGAGAAGTGCATGGTCATGCCCAAATAAATATGTTATTTGAATCCCACAAGTCAATCGAAGAATCAGTAAACCATCGATTTAACTTTAACAAGGTGACACACCCCATACCTTGTGTAAAATCAAGATATTAGTGATAAAGGAATAAGAGTTATACAAATAGGATGTGTCGTTGAAGGAATTGTTCCAAGAGCTTTAATCTATAATTTGGGGGTGATAATGTGTTGCTAGATACCGCTTATCATTTGTAGTATTCTATACTATGACCACTTTTATAGATGCCTATAATAGGGTCACACACATAGAACATATGAAAGTGTAGAATATGTAACTGGAGTAAACTTGCATTATATATATATATTGTGTATATTACATTGTGTGACAATATGATTAGATACACAAGGATATACATAAATAAATATTTATATTTGGACATTTTAATTATATGATAATTAAGTTTGTCAAATATAATTAATAATAAATATATATATTCGATATATATATATATATATATAAATAAATAATAAATTGTTTATTATTTTACTATTAATAACGCAAAATATATATTTGTATATATTAGATATTTGGACATTTTAATTATATGTTAATTAAGTTTGTCAAATATTATTTAAGGAACAATATTTTATATACATATACATATACATATACATATACATATACATATACATATACATATACATATACATATACATATATATATATATATATACACACATATATGTTTTTCGTATATATATGTATAATATAATAAATGTTACTCCCTTTGTCCTAAAACTTTTTTCCCACTTCCCCTTTTTCTCCGTCCTAAAACTACCTTCCCATTAGAAAAAATATGACAAATGACATTAATACCCTCATGTATTTACACCAATTATCTTCTAACTCTATATTTTGAATGATTGCAAAAAAAGAATTTTCAAAAATCTTTTTTAAGGAGGGTAAAATTTGAAGTCAAAGCCAAAAATTAAAAATGGGGAAAAGTCAAACTAGGAAGAAAGAATTAGGACGGAGGGAGTATATTATTTATTTTGTGCTAATTATATGATAATTAAAATTGACAAAATAAATTAGAAACTTCCTTAAAATGGGATTCGAAATTTCCTAAGTAGAATAAGAATGCGATTTGATTTCCTTCCTAAACTCTAAAAGGTACATTCCTATTAGGAATAGGAGTGGGGATTATACTCATTAAAAATAGGAGATCATCCCACCCCTTTTAGAACACTAGAATTTCGGCCTCCTCTTTATTTTAAGAGAAACAAATTTGTTTTGTTCTCTTAATACTTTACACCAAATATTTTATATTTTAGAAATATTCTAGAGAAAAATTACTAGCATAATTTTCTCTAGAACACTCTTCATTGTTCATGTGTCTCAACTGGAGGTCATATACTTTTGTGGCTAGCTCTTGGATCAATCCATCAACCTACACATATCGTTGCTTGCATGCCAAGAAAGATATATTTCTTAACAATAACTTATAATGATCATAAGAGGTCCTGGGTGGATCTACATTTGGACAACAAATTTTTTTATATTTCCGCTGCCCTATTTAAGCGTAGAACCCAATAGTAGATATCTGCATCTTTCTCTGATATGCGGATCAGCAACATGTGTAACATAGTCTGCAAGCCTCACATTTGGGCAACTTTCCCGTTTACCATGCCCCAAGGTCTCTGTTGCTTGCTGGGAAGTGGACAGTCGACCGCCATCCGTGGAACGGTCCACGGTGTCGATCGTCTGAAGCGGTTCCTGAGCGCCTACTTAATGCCTCAGAGACGGCCGACCGTTTCGTCATCTCCTTGGATTCTGTCTTTTTGCCCCTTGGACGGTCGAGCGTGGTTATGAGAACGGTCCACCACGTCGACCGTTGGTTTCTCCTCTAAGGGTTCGTCTCTCTGCCTCGCGGATGGTCGACCATGGACATTAGAACGGTCCACGGAACGGTCCAACTCTTTCGAAGACATTTCCTCATCGTCGTCAAAGAGATCAATCGGAAAGGAGCTACTCGATCCATCTTCATCTAATGTTTCACCTGCAGAAATCAAATAAGGAAAAATGTCTTCACAAAACACAACATCCTGTGATGCGCTTATCTTTCTAGTGTTTGGGAAATATATGCGTCATCCCTTCTTTCCTTGTGGGTAACCTAAAAGTATTCCAAGAATATTTCTGGGTGCAAATTTATCTCCATCTCTCTTCAGGTTGTGAACGTAACATCTGCAACCGAAAATTCGAATATGAGTCAGCGCATGAACCCTTCAATAAAGTTTCTCAACAATGTAACCCCCCCAAAAGAGACGAGGGTGTTCGCTTACTCAAATATGCCGCCGTTTGTATGCACTCTTCCCAAAACTCAATCGGAAGCCCTGCCTGAAATTTTAGAGCACGACCCACATTCAGAATATGGCGATGTTTACGTTCCACTCTACCATTCTGCTGTGGCGTCGACACACAAGATGTCTCACGAACAATTCCTTTATCCAGGAAGTATTCGGTCAAACATTCAAATTTTGTGTCATTGTAGCTTTTAACACACTTTATTCTCTTCCCAAACTGACATTCAATCATGGCACAAAATTGCTTTAAAACACTTCCTACGGTCCTCTTAGAATCAAGCAAATACACCCACACACCACGTGAAAAATCATCCACAATAGTCAAAAACATTGTAGAACCATCCAAACTTGGCGCCTGTTAAGGACCCCATAAATCACAATGCACCATATCAAATTTATCCATAGATTGATGAAAACTGATAGGAAAACTAGCACGAGTTTGTTTAGCACGCAAACAGACATCACAATGACTATGACTACTTTTATTCGAACCAACTACAGGAACTAAGGACAAAACATGTGAAGAAGGATGTCCTAGACATTTGTGCCAAAGATCAAACAAATTCTTCTTAGAAGCACTGCACTCCATGCTCCTCTCCTCCTTTAAAAAGTACAATCCTCCTTCGTGTCTACCCACACCAATTGTTGTCCTCAAACTTAGGTCATGTGACACAGAAATTAAATGGCAATTCAAGGTTGGAACAAAAAATACATTCTGCAAAGTCATAGTCATAGTCAAGTCAACCTTTCCATACTAAATAGACACAACCCTTTTTCCATCAGGTAATCCAATTTCACACGGAGACACACCCACCACATCATACAATAACGAAAGATCACCTGTCATATGATTGGACACACCAGTTTAAATTATCCAACGAGGTGATACAGGAATACCTGAGAGTTTTGGTGAGTTGTCTGTAGGGGAGAGCGAAAGGGCATGACGAACATCATTCCACTGTTCAGGCGTTAAATCCTCAAAGTTTGGCAGCGGAGATGGTCCTTTTTCTTCTCCTTGGACGGCATGAACTTCGCCTCATCCGCCCGTAACAGTCGACCGTCCAGCCGCCACGGTCGACCGTCCGCCGCCTCGTGCAGTCCCACGGCCCCTTCCCTGGCCGTTTCCTCTTCCGGCGTGATCGCGGAACACCCATCCCTCTAGGTACCCAATCAGCTTGTAGCACGCCTCAACCTCATGTCCTGTTTTCCCACAGTGAAAGCTGTTGGGGACTTGTCGTGTGGTCCAAAACAAATTAAAAATTTATAAAATATCCTTAGCTAACCCCCAATATATAATCAAATAAAAACTATAGCTAGGGCAAGTAAGGGTCGATCCCACGGAGAAAGTTTGTACTTTTGAAATCATTAAAGCATGCACACACATTGTCACGAAATAAAATAAAAAAAACTACACATATGATAAGAACTTATAAAACTTATAATAAAACTTATAACTAAAAACATATAAATATAACTTATATAAACAAAGAACTTATAATATAACTTATAAACATAAAACATATACTTAAGATATACTAAAAAATATATAAAAACTTATATTTATAACTTAAAACACAAAA